ATACCTCTGCATTAGTCCATATTGGATTTGATAGCTGGAAGAGAGTTCATCAAGGCAAAGAATGTGTATTTTTTCTTCACACAGGTACATCACCTTATTCTTATCATAATAAATGTGTGACGTATGCTACTTCCCTAATGACTCCAGCTCAGCATATTGATAAAGTGATTGAGAGAGTTAGCAAAGAAGAAGTTTTGAAAACCCGTTTAAGATTAAAGACATCAATCATGACTGTGCAGTGGCTAGCGTTACAGGGTTGTGCTTTTAGAGGTCATGACGAGTCTGAAAAATCTTTGAACCGTGGAAATATAATAGAACTGATTACTTACACAGCAAAGTGGAATGAAGAAGTCAGAGATGTTGTATTGGGTAATGCTCCCAAAAATGCCAAATACACTTCACCTGATATCCAGAAAGAAATTTTATCTTTAATGGCTAATAGAGTTCGCCGTATGATACGTGAAGAAATAGGAGATTCGTGTTTTTGTCTTCTTGTTGATGAAGCAAAGGATGAATCTGACCGGGAGCAAATGGCCATAATTTTGAGATTTGTGAATGTTGCTGGTATTTTAACAGAACGTTTTTTTGCTATTAAAGGCGTTGCTGAAACTTCTTCAGAAACACTTAAGCATGAGATCGGTGATGTTCTTTCTCATTACAATCTTCAAGTCCATAAGTTACGAGGCCAGGGATATGACGGTGCTAGTAATATGCGTGGACAATGGAACGGATTGCAAGCACTATTTCTGAATGATTGTCCTTATGCATACTATGTGCATTGTTTTGCTCATAGGTTGCAATTGACATTGGTGGCTTCAGCAAAACAGTGTGATCCTATTTGGAGATTTTTTTCCATTTTGGATAAAGTGATTAACATTGTCAAATCTTCTGCTAAGCGCAACACAGAATTACAAGTTACTCATAGAGAAGAAATTGACATTCTGTTGGCAAGTGGGGAGCGTGAATCTGGACGAGGAGCCAATCAAATGTCCTCTTTACAACGTTCAGGTACAATTCGTTGGAGCTCTCATTATGATTCTGTTCTTAGTATGATAGAATTGTACAATGCTACTTGTAAGGTACTTGAGAATATTGCTTGTGATGGGCCGAATCCTAAGGCTCGAAACGAAGCAAATGGAGCTTGCACTAGCTTGAAGAGTTTTAATTTTGTCTTTGGCTTGCACGTAATGAAAGCTATTATGGCTATAACTGATTTTCTTTGTCAAGCATTTCAAAAGGAGTCAGTGGACATTTTATCATCAATGGGGTATGTTTCAACATCCAAAACCCTTCTTCAAAGTCTAAGGGATGATGGATGGGATAATCTGTTGAAACAAGTGGAAGAGTTTTGTTTAAAACATAACATCACTATCCCAGACATGAAGACCAAAATGCGGCGTGGGCGGAGTGAGGTAGATCTTGAACATTATTACCGCTTTGAATATTTTACCCAATCCATAGATTATCAAGTGGCGGAGTTGAATTCAAGATTTTGTGAGAAATCAGTTAGACTACTTGAGCTCAGTGTGGCATTGGATCCGAGAAACTCCTTTGAATCATTTAATGCTGATCATATTTATAATCTTGCAGTGGAGTTTTATCCTGATGATTTTGAGCAACACGAGAGAAATGCTTTAAAGAGTGAACTGACATTTTATCATATTCATGTGGCTCAGAACTCTCAATTCCAAGTTCCTACTCTTTCGCATTTATGTGAAATGTTGGTGAAAACAAGAAAGGCAGACGATTTCAAAATGTTGACAAGATTGATACGTCTTGTGTTAACATTACCGGTTTCCACGGCTACAACCGAGAGAGCATTTTCAGCAATGAAACATGTCAAGACGGCAATTCGCAACAAAATGGCTGATGAATTTCTTGCTGATAGTTTGACAATCTTCATTGAGAGGGAACTTGTCAGTACAATAGATATTGACTCTCTTATCGATGAGTTTGCTAAAGTAAAAGACCGTAGAGTGCAATTGACTTTTTAGTTTGAATGTTTGATGCACTAAATTTCTAGTAGTTTTGTTGTAAAAACATTTGTGATGCACTTGAACTTAATTTTATTACTACACTTATATTTAAGAATTTTTTTAGTTCAATTCCGGCCCAGCCCTTTATAGTGTCCTGGCTCCGCCCCTGCGTCCTCCACTTCGCTCTCTTTGAAGCCATAATCTCATCTAACCCAATAAGACGCATATCGGTTCTGGTTCCTCTAATCCAAATCTGTTTGAGCCTTCCTCTCCAATTCCAAATTTTATTAAGATAAAAATGGTCCTATTTGGTCCTATTTTTAAGTTATGATCCTATTTTTGGCAATTAAAGTTTCATTTAGTCCTATTTTGGGAATTTTTCCTAAAAGTAAATACAAATGGTGAGGGAGACTAGGCCGAGCAATACTTGTATTTTTTGAATTTTACCTTGTATTTACTATTAGAGTATATTATTGGGAAAATTTCCTAACAATTAACACCTAAAATATGAAGGTCGTTCCATTTTAGCAAATGATACTCGCTCCGTTCCTATTAAAACTTTCAACTTTCCTTTTTTCATTCGTTCCAATCAAAACTTCCACTTTCCCTTTTAGTAAAGAATTTGTGGTTCACAACGTTTCTTACACATTTCTCTTCTCAGCACAACTCTCCACCACACAATACTCACTATCTTAAATTGTGTGACAAACCTATTTGGAAGATAAAATAGGAACGGATGGAGTAATAATTTTGAGGTTATAAAGGGTGTTGGGAGCATGAAAGTGAGATATCAACATTATCGAGTTTTACCTGCTTTGGTTGATGATAATTCAATGTAGGTAAAAGAACGTGCTATTGAACTGGCAAATGCCATGAAAGATGAAGATGGTGCAACAGGAACGGTGAAAGCTTTCTATAAGCACTTTCCTCGCAAAGAACAACTTGCTGTTGAGACTGAAAATAAAACAACAGATCTCCATCATCGCAGTTTATAACTTTATACTGTAATTGTAATAAAACTTGTCTGCTAATTCAGTTGTAGACTTTTAGAAGCCAAGAATATGATTGATTTTTAGTTTTTACAAATTGTTTAGTTAATATTTACTTCTTTCAATCCTAATTCTTAACCAATCAACTACCTAATCTCCCCTGGATGTCGAAAAAGTCGCCGGAAAAATTCACATATTTTTTTTATGTTATTTCATTTTTTTTTATTTTTTGTCAGTTGAGAAAATTTTCTGACGATCAGGTAAGTTTCACAGTGACATGGTGACAATGGCAGTGACATTGGTGACAACAATGAAATAGGCCAGCAGGCTCATTCTTGCCTCATATCTGCTGAGAAATCTAAGCAATTTAAAGTTGTTGTCCTCCCACAAAAGTTTCATCGTATTCCTAATGCATTGTTTATATTGTAATTGTAATAAAGTATGTCTGCTAATACAGTTTTATACTTGATGGTTATAATATGATTAATTTTTATCTTTTAAAATTTGTTTAATTAATATTCATTTCTTTTACTTCTAATTCTTAACCAATTAATTACCAGCCCTGTGCTGGCCGCCGAAAAAGTCACCCAAAATCTTTATGTTATTTCAATTTTTTGAATTTTGCTATAAAAGGAAAAGTTTTCTTGTAATATTTTGTTAAAGTACAAAAGACTCTTGCATAAATAATATACATAAATAACAGGAAAACTTCCAGTGAGAATCCCTCTTAAAATGAGAATTTTAATCTCAATCTATTATTTTATTCGATCAGTGATTAGAATGTACATGATTTTTTTTGTGTAATTATTAAAAATTCAAATGAGGACTTCTTGTAATTAGTGTAAATTTACTACAAAAAAATCTAATTGTTAATTGTAGTCATTGATTATATAAATGAAAGGTTGAAAAAAGTTCTCATCTACAAATGATATCTCATTTTAAAATGGATTGTGACACTCACATAGGGGAGAGTTTTAATGAGAATTCATTTTAAAATGAGAACTCATTTATAAATAAGAATTTTTAATTTTCAACTTTAATATTTCAAATCAAGGGCTAGAACCAATAAGATGACTTTTTTGTAATAATTTTACAGTAATCACAAAATGACCCCTTTTGATTTTTGAAAAATTACACAAAAACTCCATGTGCATTCTAATTCCTAACCAACGATTAATAAAATGGAATGTTGAGATTAAAAGTTCCCATTATAAAAAGTTCTCATTTTCTTTTTTGACAACTAAAAAAGTTCTCATTTTAAGAAAGATTATCGCTAGAATACCACCCTCTATACACATATTAGTTCATGTGAGAAACACATCTAATATGAAAATTGAGAATGAATTTTAGCCATTGGGTTTACGATGTTGCGTGCACTAAAATAATTTCTTGTTTTACTAGGATTTAACTTTTGTGATGTTGCACTACAAATTCACGTTGCACTAGAATTTGATGGTGTTGCAATAAAACAACTTCATATTGCACTAGAAAGGCGTGACACATATTTTTAAAACTATTTACGGAGCTCTTTTAGTGCAACATAATCGAATGTAATGGTCGAGATTCATTCTCATTTCCAATATATGTATCTATATACAAATTAGATAATTTGATGAATGTAAACGTGAGAACAAATTTATCCTCAACACAAATCATCTTGGGGGGACTCCAAAAAATCTTACTGATGACAATATGAAATTATACATAAGCTCGAGAACCCTATTCTCCTATTATCAATAATAAATTGTTTTATATAAGAAAAGAAGAGAACCCGTTATAAATATTTATAAAAAGTCTTTATATATATTACTTTAATCACTATTCAGATATTATTATCACTAATCATTATTTTATTATCTATAATAATATAATAGTATTGCATCAAATTATCTCTATAATAATAATAATAGTATGCCTATATTAGATAATAATTTTCTAAGAAAGTTGAGGTCATAATAATTAAACCCAGATCATAAACATTCATAGGACCAGAGAAAAATTCAAATCAATTTTAATCCAATCTTGAAATTTGATATGAGAAACTTTTGGTTAGATAAATAAATGAAAAACTTCATAATCTATTTGAAAGGGCAAATCGTAATTTCGAAGGTAACGGTCCTCGTGTCGCCGCCAAAAAGCGTCGTCTTCGCCCGGCCCGAGCAACACATGTATCGATCTGTCCTTTTCTCTCTTTCTCTCCCACCTATATTCTCCATCTCCTCTCATTTTGTGTCTACTTTTCATCAGGGTTTCTCCGCATTCCTCCAATTTAGCAATGGAACACTCGCCGGGTAAGTATCGCCGCGATCACAATTCGATCAGCTCCGACGAGGTATCCGTCGATTTGGCATTGGAAACGCATTCAGGAAGCGGCGATTCCAACGAAAGCGGATCATCTACACATAGCGGCTCCGGTGTTGATTTAGTAGGTACGTTCTATTTCACGCTCGACATTTGTCTGTTTCAGAAGTGAAATGCTCCTTAAAATTTTCTTCTCACTAGGCTCTTCAAAGGGAAATTCCCAGTGCTAATTAATGCTAACAATAGATATGTTAACACATAATCCTATGTGTAGTCTGTTCAGCGTTCATACTAGTATATCTATATTTCAAGCTTTTGAAATTGCTGTCGTTCTGCCAACAGATCCGGTAACTCCTCCGACTCATCAGCTTAATAAAAACGAGAAAGGCAGGCAACACTCTCTAACATTGCTAGCTGCAAAATTTTTTGATGAAAAAATCTCTTTTAGAAAGAAGGTCAGCTCAGCTTGGTACATTGATAAGAACTTCTCTGAGTATAGCTAAACTCTTCACATTCATTGTTTTCTTGGACAGTTGCCTTCAAATTTATACTGTACCATGGATGCATTTGACATGTCATGTCATTGGAGAGTGTTGCCATTCTGTAACGAGTGCACGTATTTGTACGTCTGAACTGAGAAATCTAAATGTGAACTTTAAATTGATGAAAATATTGGAAATTATGCAGCACAAGTTGTTGAAGAGAGTTGCTACTATTAAAGATGATGGAACTGTGCAATTTGAAGTTCCAGGAGATATTAAACCTGAACACCTTGATTTTGGTACCAGCATTGACAATGGAGATGCTAGTACAGAGGAAGCTACTAATGATGTAGAAGATATCCAAAACTTGCCTCCACTGCAAATTGTTATGCTAATTGTTGGAACCAGAGGAGACGTACAACCATTTGTTGCTATTGGGAAAAAATTACAGGTGAAAATTCTTCCATTAGGAAATGTGGGGACTACCCACGGGAAATATCACTGCTCGCTTCTTTATGGGACACCCCTTAATCATTGATGAGAGAACTGTATTTGCATAGAAGTTTTTTTATTCTTTCCATCATGTTATTAGTTTCTCCTGGTATGTATTAGTAAATGAATTATGTCCTGATATGTACTGAATCCTTTACATTCAAGTATTTCTATCATTTTGCCAGATAATCAACTTTTTTTATCTCTTTACAGGAACATGGTCATAGGGTGAGATTGGCTACTCACTCCAATTTTAGAGAGTTTGTTCTGGACTCTGGGTTGGAGTTTTATCCTCTTGGTGGGGATCCAAAAGTCCTTGCTGCTTGTACGTTTGAGCAGTTTTGTATTTTTCATTTTCTTTATTTCTTTTTGGCTGCAAAGCGCATTTTAGAATTAGAGTTCACATTACCCTTTTCTCATTTTTTGAGAAATTTCATTATGGCATTATCCACAGCAGACTGTATGTTAATTACTTAATAGTTAATATAAAGTGATGAGTAAAAGCATTACTGTGTTCTTTTATAGCTTACCATAACATTCGGAAGAAGTTGCTATTGATGTGAATAACTATGGGAATTGCAGATATGGTAAAAAACAAAGGTTTCTTGCCATCTGGGCCTTCTGAAATATATATTCAACGCAAGGAGATAAGAGAAATTGTTTTCTCTTTACTTCCAGCCTGCACAGATCCTGATCCAGAATCTAATGACCCATTCAAAGTAGATGCCATCATTGCCAACCCTCCAGCATATGGTAAGAGCTTTAGTTTTCACCATTGTCTGTCCTCCCGCATCTGTATGACTGTATGCCTAAAAAATTGTCAACGTGATAAAAGCATACTATTGAAGGTAGAGAAATATGCCTGTGTAATGTGATAATTCATATGTCTGTCTGTGCGCATTATGTCTATTCATATGGTGAACCGAGCGGTCTGATGCATTTTAACTATTGCTAGAGTGTCACACACACACCAATAATATTATATAGGGTAGTATATCCGCTGAGAAGGGGAGCCTTCGCGCACCGGTTATGGTGTTGCTGTGTGACTTAGAGGTCACGGGTTCAAGTCTTGAGAGCATCCTCTTTGTGGTGGGACCCTTCCCGGATACTTGCCTGGTGGGTACAGGGGTACGCAAATGTGCACCAGACTGCTCTTTTTTCTATAGTATATCTGTTGATACTGTTTTTTATCTCATATAATATATCAATTTAAGACTTCAAGAAAGCATCAATTAATCAATATCCATTTTTTGTATTTCTCGTGGTACATCAGTAGCACTTACATGCATTAATCATTAGATCTTTTAAAGTACATATATGTTTACCCATATGTTTGCGAAACTATATTGATTTATCAAATGGATGATTCTTCAGGACATAGTCATGTTGCAATGGCTCTGAAAGTACCACTGCATATATTCTTTACAATGCCATGGACGTAAGTTGCTCCTCTTTTTTCATGTCTCATACGCCAAGGTTCTTGTACCCGTCCGTGGGAACCTAATATCTGCTAGGATATATTTAAGTTTTCTATTAATTCTATGATTTTTAATATCTCCCGCTACTTACTTTATTCAGACCTACAAGTTACTTCCCACATCCTCTCTCTCGTGTTAGGCAACAAGTTGGATACAGAGTCAGTGCCTTGTACTTATTCCTCCTAACCATATCCGTGTGCCCACAGTTTCATTCATCTCACTTCATTTGAACTTATGCACAGATATCTTATCAAATTGTTGATTCGTTAATCTGGCTTGGGATACGAGATGTGATAAACGACTTCAGAAAGAAAAAGTTGAAAATGAGGCGCTTTACATATTTAACTAATAATTTCAGTTCACCTGAAATTCCGCATGGGTACATCTGGAGTCCCCACCTTGTTTCTAAACCCAAAGGTCATCTTTTGCCGATATTTTCACTTACACCAGTTTAATAATGTAATTACCATGCATGCAATTTGTGTTTTGAGCTATTAGATACAATACTGTAGCCAATATTATCTTTATACATTTTTTTTGTATAATCAACACTCAATCTTATGCTTCTGCCCTACATTTATGGTTGTTGCTTTTGTTCCCTGTTTTGAGCTTGAATTTTTTTTATATGTATGTTGAGTGGGGGCAATTTCCATCATTTGCAATGGAGCCAAAGATTCATTATTTTTTGGCTTGAGATTATGATGGAATAAAGCAAAATGGCTCACTAAACTGTCTGCGCTTCTTTGTTATGAAGCAGCAGTCAGTCCATGCAATTTTGGACGGGATTTTCACTATGGGTCATCCGGAAACAGTCTCTCTGTGCTTTAGTACAGGGGTAAGGCTGCGTACATCCGACCCCCCCTTACCCCACCGTAGGTGGGAGCCTTTGCGGCACTGGGGTAAATGAAAATGAAATGAAATGTTGAGTGGGGGCAACTTGTTATTCCTCTATAATATCTTTTTGTAGCCATATTTGTATTCTAATTGACTTGATTTTTCATGATTTGCAGATTGGGGTCCCAAAATTGATGTTGTTGGGTTTTGCTTCCTAGATCTTGCTTCTACCTATGCTCCACCAGAATCACTGTTGAAATGGCTTGAAGATGGTCAAAAGCCCATCTACATTGGCTTTGGCAGCCTTGTAAGTGGCTGCCTGCTTACTCCTAAGTCCTAACTACTTGGTGCTTATAACCTCTAACCCATTTTAATTGTCCGCATTATTATAGTTTTGGTAATCAATTCGATTTCTCTTTTTTTCAACTCCAACTTCAAGAGATATTTTTTCGAGACATATATAGAAGCTACTTAAGCTAGATAATGTTGACCATTGACAATTGAAACTAGACAACCTTTTAATGACATAGGGAGTAAATGATGGGATTTAAAAAACATGATAGTTTTATATGAGCCAGAAAACCTTAAATTATTATGATGATGGTGATTATTATTATTTTTATTATTAGTACTACTACTCATTCAAAAAAAATAGTACTACTACTACTACCATTGTTACTACTACTACTACTACTACTACTACTACTACTACATTATGAGTTGATTTTATTACTATTAGTTTTCTATTATAATTAGTAGTGCATTTCTATTAGTATACATATTCTATATTCTATTTTAGTTAGTATTCCTACTAGCAGTGTTCTAACAGGTTTAGGGTTCCTCTAGTGCTGTTACATCAGGACTGTCAGGATTAGTAAAGTAGAATTAATCTATTCATTAATGATATGATCAGTAGCTTTGCAATAATCCCATGGAATCTTGAGTTTGGACAGTACCTTCTCTTTCCTAGTGTGAGAAGTTATTTGTCTTTATTGATTTCAGTTCTTTTAAAGTTGGTGAAAGTAATTCCATTCTTGCTTTTATGTTCCTCTTTTGATCAAAATAGTCCTTTCTTCCTGTCCACATTCTAATTATTTATTTTGCTACTGCATTTATATCTCTATACACCGTGCATTTTCTGCAGCCAGTTGAAGAACCTGAAAAAATGACTGAGATAATTGTTCGAGCGCTAGAAATCACAGGACAGAGAGGCATTATTAACAAAGGGTGGGGTGGCCTTGGGAATTGTAAGTGTGAATCTTTACTGGAGTAGAACTATCTTCATTGCTCCCTCAAACATTTACTTTTTCCAAATATAAGATAAATGTACTATAATATATTAATATGACTAGATTACCCCCCTCATTAATGCATTAAAGATATCCTCCATAGTCCGTTGAAGTACTCCCTCCGTCCAAATTTTTTCTCCCATTTTGTCATCTGAAGTCAGTTATCAACTTTACCATTAATTATTCAAATTTACATTAACTTGTTACATGGAAGTAATAACTTTGGACAATTTGTTTTAATATTTATAATTGATTTCGTGATTTGTTATACTTTTTCTAAAACATATAGTGGTAAATAATAATGCTCAAAGATCGACATTGAAGAATGATGACCATGAAGTCCAAGTATGAAGAAAGTTTTGGAATGGGGATACTAAGGATCATTTAAAGATGGGAAAATGAAATAGTGGAAAATGTGCCATTAATGTTCTCTTGGTATTTGAAAACAGCACTTATTTGAGAGCATTTTCTCACCCAAGTGACACTTATTAAAGAATGGAATGAGTATAAGAATTCATTGGCTCGTTGATTAAGAACTTATTGTGCTGTTCTTTTCTCAGTAAAGGAGCCCAAGGATTATGTGTATTTGTTAGATAATTGTCCACATGATTGGCTGTTTTTGCAATGTGCTGCTGTGGTAAGCCCTCCTCATCACATGTTCAGAACTTTTTTTACACATATAATTGGTACTCCCTCCATCCAATTTTGGTTGTATTACTTTCCTTTTTGGGTTGTCCCAAAATTAAAGTCCTGTTTTATCTTTTGGCAAAAATATGTAGTTCATATTATTTCACTTTATTATACTCCAATCTCAATCACAACTTTTACTTTTGAACCTCTTTATTATAAATTATGGCAAACTAAAACAAGACGTCCAATATGGGATGGAGGTAGTAATACAAATTTAGAACTTAACCAGTAAATGTACTTATCATGGAATCAGGTGCATCATGGGGGTGCAGGAACAACTGCTGCTGGCCTTAGAGCTGCGGTGATAACTAAGACTGTTTGGTAACCCTGTGTGGGTTACTTGGCTGAAATGGATGTTGCTAAAGTCTTTTATATCTTCAAAAACATTAGCAGATTAAGCCATTTCAACCAAATAACCATTACTGAACAGTCACTAAATTTCCTCAATGTCATTTTTCCTATTTAAGAAGTATTATTTATTTCACTAGCTAATTGATTTGTGGAGCTGTTTTAATTTTCAGTGCCCTACAACAGTGGTGCCTTTCTTTGGAGACCAGCCTTTTTGGGGTGATCGGGTATATGCTAGGGGAGTTGGTCCTGTACCTATCCCCATAGATGAATTTTCACTTGAAAAACTGGTTGCTGCCATCGAGTTCATGCTTGAGCCAAAGGTAACCAATGTTTTCCTGTAGATAGATTGTGTGTCTGTTTGGTGGGGGTAAAATTTAGCGGAAATAGCAGAATGAGCAGAACTTGAGGAAGCTGTGTTTGAAATTAATGAATTACTTGTGTGTCTGTGTTTGAACTTGAGGATGCTGTACAACTTTATTACAGGTAAAATTGATTGTGTAGTGTTTGTTACGGGGATTCCGGGGAGGATGTGAGGAAACAAGGATAAATTATTCCCTGAATTTTCTAGTCTAAAACTAACGAGATGAGATAAATCAGCAGTAAAATAAAAATCAAACATGCATCCCTTCCCCTCCCCTACAGAATCCCCGGACGATGCAAGCTGAGTGTTCGTATAATCAATCTCTAAATCCCACATCTCCCCCCAAATAGGCTTCTGTTTATGATACTTTCTCCATGTGGGTTCCAAGAGTGCTATGAGGCTGATAGTCAGATACCAAATATCTTTACTAATTCTAATCCACATTATTGAGTTTTTAACTGCTTGAGGTGATGATTATGTAGGTGAAAAAACATGCTATTGAACTGGCAAATGCCATGAAAGATGAAGATGGTGCAACAGGAGCGGTGAAAGCTTTCTATAAGCACTTTCCTCGTAAGGAACAACTTGCTGTTGAGTCCGAAAACAAAACACCACATCGCCGTCATCACAGTCTATTCTCCATATCACAATGTTTTACCCCTTCTGCTGATTCTTAATTTTGAAGATCCAAGCCGGCACAATCATACTTGCTTCATATTTGGTGGAAAATTTATGCAATGTAGCGTTGTTGTACCATGCCACATTTGTTTCATCATAATCTAATGTATTATTTATATTGTAATAAGATTAGTCTGCGAATACAGTTGTTAAGAAAATAATGAATTGCAATGTGCTTTTTAATAAAGCTTAGAGCGTTATGTTGCGACAAAGATTTGGCGAAGGACGTTTTCCTAGCTATTACATAAACATTCTAGATCCAAGATAGTAATGGAGTAAGATAACTCACTCCAAAGTGCTACCTCCGTCCCAAATTGTGTTGCAATTTGTGGAACTTAATAACATTTACTAGTGTTAATAAATAAAAATAAAATGTATGTTTAAAAATTGCACCAAAAGTGAACAAAAAATTCATTTCCAATATGATAAAAATCAATACTCAATTATTTATAAAATTAGAAAGGGAAAATAACTTTAAATAGTACAATCTCCCATATACGAATCAATGTGTACTTTAGATGTACTTTGTAATTTTTAATAATACAAACTATTTGAATAAATAAGAAATATAATATTGATCACATTTGTTACTATAAGTCCAGTCATTTATCATACAAAAAAATGATATCAAACAAATAAATACTATCCCCTCCGTCCCAATTTGATGGTCTCATTTCTTTTGGGCAAAAGTTTTAATAAAGTGGCTGAAAAGGTAAAAATTGTGTTTGAGATTTGAATATAATAAAGTAAAATGATATGGATCACATATTTCTTTACAAAAAAGGAAACAGAACCATCATTTTGGGACATCCCAAAAAGAAAATACAGGACCATCATTTTGGGACGGAGGTAGTACATAATAGTTATCTTGAAATGCGATAAATTATAAGGAGTACGACCCTTGGTATAATTTTTTGTGTGTTAAATAATCAAATTTTAGTGCAAATGATCAAGTGTCACTTTTATTATATAATTAATGTTAGTATTAATAAAAGTTATTTCTCGATGTTATTTTCCTAATTAAAAATAAGGGGGGCTAGTTGCAAGATGAACAAAGTTGTTGCAAAACCATGACATTTGATAAACAATTGACAACATAAATTGTCGAATCATCTATAAGATGTACGTGCAATATTGACATGTTTGTGGTTGAAGTGTCACTTATCAACAATTTTACCAACACACACACTATCTCTGCGCTTTTTTTCCATATTAACAATTGGGGAAGCAAAATAAAACAGTGGGTTAACATACTGCCACCAGGTACTTTAAAAGTTAATTAGAAATGTCAGTTCAAGACAATTACAAATGAACAATCAATCCTTTTATCCAAATTTTGACGTGTATCAACATATTCTCTTATTATAGTACGTGCAATATAGTATTACTAGGAGTTCAATGCCATGTAAGGGAAGATATCAATTCTAATCGGAACAGAGATAGTAAACCATAAACATCAACTTCAAGCAGGCTTATCAGCGCTAATTAATAGGTAAAACAACCGAAACTGCAGAAGATAACTTAAACACCTGGACGAAACAACAATATGGTGTTCACTGAGCTTTAACAGTCTTCCAGAGCTTCACCCACTCCACCATAGTCTCAGCAGCCCGAGAAAACACAGATTCTGAATTCCCCAATTGCCCCTTCACAGCTGCAGCAATCTCAATAACACAAGCTTCCGCAGTTGTTGCCTGTGGTGACAACTTCAACGATTGAAAGAAAGGGACGACTTCCTCCATCACCTTCACCCCTTCCCACTCTTTCTTCAAACTCTGTATCGCGTCTCCTCTTTCCTTCCTCCAAACGTACGGGAGCCCACTCTTCACCCCCAGTCCCAAATGATCACACACCGCCTTCACGCACATCCCGCTCCATATATCCTCCATTGTCTCCCACCTCAGGTTCCCTTCCTTTGCTAACCTGAAAGCTGGCAACAGGGCAGGCCCCACCAACTCTCGGTCGAAGGCGATGTTAATCCCGCTTACAGGCATCATGGCTTTCGCCGGGACGGTGAGAACAGCATCCACGTACCGCGAGTTCCTCTGGCCTGGCTTGAGTGCCTGTGTGGGAGCATCGTAGTCTGCCAAGTTAAGCCAGAGTCCACACGACAATGCACAAGGTACACCACTCCTCATGCTGAACGGATACCCACGAACAAAGTCGGTTCCTTTCCGGAAAGGGTCATATAGAGTGTTGAAGAAAAAGGGTGTGGCAGGAGTTGTGAGGTTGTTGATATGTTCAGTGATAGGATCAGTGGTGTTTGTGTTTTCCTTTACCGGGAAACAATCATCGTCAATCGAGACAATATATTTTTTCTTCGAGATAAGATAGCCAAAATATCGGCACAAGTAGCCGGAAAAGAGATCAGGGTTTGATGATGCACCAAGAATCCGTTGGATATCGGGTTTTGTATAAACATGATGGTTAAATCCAGAAGGGATGGTGAGTTCTTCTTGGAGGTTAGGGTCTTTGACGATTATGAGGTGGAAACGTGAGAAGATCGATCTCCATTCTTCCATGAATGATGTGAGGTCAGATTGGAGTGCACCTATAACAATGTCAATCTCATCATCTCTGATGTTGGCTTGAGACATTTTTCTCAGGTTTCAACCACAAAACAAGAAAGTGGCTAAATACAGTTGATTTTGAACAGGATCAGAATTTCTTCTCACAGCATCCTGGAAAAAAAGAATTTTAAATGGTTATAGAGCATTATGAATGTCTTGAAGGATAATGGGAATATTGATGGATGACTTACTAGTGGGAAGAACAGGAGTAAGAACAGCTTGGATGTTAAAAGACTCGACCAGTGAAATGACTTCTTCTTTACCGGTACCCAGAAACAGCTTCAAAATCTTCTCATTGAGTTTTCCGGCTCTTAATGTTTTCTGCGGAAAATAAAATACATGCTATGTATTATCCAATGAACACGGGAAAGATAATCAGTCTTTGCACGCGGGGCAGATCTACATTATGGCTATGTTGGGCTGAAGCTTGTGTAATTTTTGTAGTGTAAATGTTTTAATTTTTCTCATTTAGCCTACCCAGCTAGTGTTTAAGTCAATTATAACTTCTTCAACCCACCCCAACTTAAATTTCTGGATCCCCTGTGCTTTTGCATGAAAAAATACATTACTACTAGACTAACATTTATAATGTACTGGAATTAGGGCTATTTATCTCATGTAATTGGGAAAGTAAAGTGGAGCTAGTAATATCAATTATCAATGCTCAAAAAAGCGCTAGGCTATAGGATAAGAGAAAACCATTTTTCTAAAAAAATCGCTAGGCTCTATGATTATCAGTGTAAGCACATGTTAATATGTTTTGCAATTTTTGCAAATAAATAAATTCATATGACCTTAGTGATTTTTTAAAAGTGAAACTATGGGTTCAGATTTCAGATGGAATCAATCCCTAGTATTCCATGAACGATTCTAAAAGATCTGTATTCCAAGTGAATCAATTTCTGCAACAGTATAAATGGAATTACATAATTAATTAACAGCAATAACAAAACCACACAAAGAGTAAATCGTCACGTAGTTCTTCTCTCCCATTGAATGAAATGAACAGGCATCCACTAAACAAACACATACTTCATAGTTCATACTTCGTATAAGTTAAGAATCCACCAAATCACACAGAGCTTCAGGGAAACAATTATGACTTGCAGATCAAATCACAAATGATTCAAACAAAATTATACAACAACTGGCGCAATTCTGCAACAATGGATGAAACACCCAGAAATGATTCAAGCACGTGGTCATGCTGAAATTAAACTGAAACTGAAGGAGAGCGAGTGATATGGGGAAGAAATCGTACCAGGAAGAGTTCAACGAGGATGTGATCGGGCAAGCAGGATAGATCAGAGAAGTAAGGGAGGTTAATAAGGGCAGAGTCAACCGCGAGCGAAAGAAGCGATGGCGGGGTTCTCATTCATTTCAGGCTTTCCGTTTCCGACTCGCTCTCTCTCCCACCCTTTCTGTATTTTATTGCTAAAAAATATAAAAAGATATGATTGATAAGAACTTATGTTGATTCATATTTTGGGGTTTTTAGTAATCAACTTTAGTACTTTCAAAAAAAACTCGATTATAGTAACTTAAAAAGTGCTCCACTTTAATGAAATCTGTGGAAAATTTTAAAAAATACTACGAGTATAAATTTTGTGGTATTTAAGAAAAAACAGTAGGGATAATATAGAGAGTGATGAGATAAATGAAAACGTAAAAAAAAAAATATATTAAGAAGAACAAAATAATGAAAAAATATGAAAAATAAAATCATTTGCAAAATGAAAAAGTAAAGATAATAAAAGTAAGAGTATATAGGTAATGTTAAAAGGAAAAGTTTATTAAAGTGTAGAAAAAGACAAATAATTAAAAAATATCCCAAAAAATGTGTGAAAGTTAAAAAAGAACGGTGGAGTTTTTTCCCGGAATAATGCAAATTAAATAAATTATTCCCGAATGTTCCTCATCAAGTCTAGTTTATGAATACCAAATTTCAGCTCAAAATTCAACCGAGAAGGCAGTTAAACAAATTCTTGAAACATACTGCGTTTTATATATGTACAAAATGAGACGTAAGAGAAGAGCCGCCACTAGAAGTGGCGGCTTTTGTACTATAAGAGAAGAGCCGCCACTCGAAGTGACGGCTTTTGTGAAGTAATACAAGAGCCATCACTTGGAGTGGTGACTTTCCTTAATCATGGTTAATTCCAACAGTATTTTGAGAATTATTCTTAACCCGACAGTATTTCGAAAATAATTTATTTAATTAGCATTATTCCGGAAAAATTGGGGCCACCCTATAAGCATATACTAATATCACACATAATATTAATGTTAAATATGTTTTTAGTCCTTACAATTTATTACATTTGTTTTACACCCTTACAATTTTTTTTTGTTTTACGTTTTTAAATTTTATGTTGGTTTTGACAATGAAACAACCTGACCATTATGTTTCCTCTAATTCTTTATCATATTTTTTTAAAAAGTATTTAATTTTATTTTTTTGAAGGTTTTTAGTACAAAGTTTTAAAATGGGAATAGTTAATTTTACATTGTTTCAACTCTTACATTAGCCTCAAAGAATTATAAAAGAATAAATTTGAAAGTTTCTAATAGATTTATGCAACTAACAATAATTTATTTTCTAAATAAATTGATTTCAAAGTTAGAGAAAGACCA